ACAAACAAACAGACAGACAAACAAACAGACAGACAAACAAACAGACAAACAAACAAACAGACAGACAAACAAACAGGCAGACAAACAAACAAACATGTAAACATTCAGACGTACCAACTTACAAACGTGCAACCCCCCTTGCTTACGCTGCACATACATTTTACCCACGAGCGAGCAGACAAACGAACTTCTCCTCATGGCGCCGTAAATACAGTTATTTAAAAAAACAGTGGGGCAGTACCGATCGCCTTTATTTCCCTTGCTTACATCCGATCAATTGCCACCCCTTCAGCAAATGAATCTACAAACACTTTTGTCACGGAAAGGCATACACAAATGGGACGACTCACAGGGATACGCTTTTTTAAGCACCGACGATATTAATGCTATGATTCAGTGGTTCATCATGCTCAGGCATGCACTCTCTGTCCAACTTTGCACCAAGTGGTCATTATTTTTCCCTTTTGACAAATTTCCCTCCTTGGGTCTCCTCGTTTCGACTTATTCTACATCTTCGTTACCCGTTGGGGCACCGCTGTCATCAGCGGCATCGATGTCATCAGTGGCATCGCTGGCATCTTGGTCAACGACTTGCGCCTTGCCCATTTCCTCCTGACCCCCTTCCGCGCCAGCGAGCTCCACAGAGGGAACTTCGTCCCTCGTGCTCCGCCTCTGCTTCTTCTCCTCCTCCATGTTCTTCTTAATTTGATTCAAATCAATAACTCCCCCATAGCCTTCCTGCACATTCTGCTCGCGGTTATTTACAAACACCCGAGTTGTCTCCTCCTCGGGCTTTAAATCGACTACTAACAGTTTGCCACCCGCATCCTTTTTCCTATTTTTATCCAGATTCTCTTGCACACTTTTAATATTATTCGTATTAACAAGCCTTCCTCTTATGCCAAAGTGATAACAAGTGGAGGCCTCTGCCAGGCTATTAACCCAAGAAGCTGTTTTTAGCTTATTCTCTGTACATAAAATTTGGTTATTATTTTTGTATACAAAAAGAAAGCACTGCTCCACACTGCCAATTAATTTAATAGGTAGCTCCAAAGAATTCCACAAATAGGTCATTTTTTTTTTATTTTTGTAAAAAATGGTAAAGCCAGAGTTGTTAATTCTCCCCTGAACCTTGTCAATCGAATGTTTTAATCCATTAGATGAAGAGACAAATTTTAATTTCCCCGTCTTGTAGATATCACAGTTCCTGCCTTGCTGCTCATAATTGTAATTTTTATTGTTTCCACTTTTCAAATGCCTTTTTAGCTCTTCTGCTTTGCTTTCCAGGTAATGCGATTTTTTATTGAGATAATTTATTTGTTCTAAGTTATGTTTCAGCAATTTTCTCGTTTTCTCTTCGTCGCTTCCTTCTTCATTGCTACTCCTTTTTAGATTTTTCAAAGCACGATCATGCGAGTCCTTTATTCGTTTGGATAGGTATCTTTTGTTTTGTGCCTGCCCCAGAAGTGCTTTCACTTCTTCTTCGAGCGAGGCGTCATAGTCACTCCTTAGACCTTCTCCCTGCTCATCGCTACTGCTACGCCCATGGTTTCCATAACCCTTGTAATCGTAAAACTTCCTTTGTAAATCCTTTAACTTTCTAGTTATAAAACTTCCTAAGGTCTTCTTCAAATCGTTTTTTACCTCCACGGGAGTCAACTTGTCAAAAGAGTACAACTGGTGCGTTGCGTAGGACACGGGCAGAAGGGATTGACAATTCGCTTTTCCATGCGGAGACAAACAGGTTAACAGAAAAAACGCAAGTGACAGCGTTACTTTGGATTTCACACTTCTTATCATTTTGTTTTCAAAAAAGGGAAGAAATGTTTAATTGGGGGGGGACTCAGGGATGACGACCGCAAATTTGTCCACTGCTAATAACCACAAATATACTTTCAAGTGCCTTCGTATGAATGAGGCGGGAGTGGGTATGGGGAAGGAAGATGTATGCCTACTAAATAATAAGCCAGTGACTGACAGTTGGGTTTCTCTTCAGAGAAAATTTGAAAGACGCAACTATTTATGCTAACTTTTAGCACCTTTTATTTTTTCGATGGGAATGGTTGACCATCCATAAATTGTTGGCTCCCAATTTGGAAGTTGCAAAGAGGGGCATGGGTAACTACGCATGCACGGAGGCTCCCTTACACAGGCATATGTGCGTATATATATACATACATATATGTACATTCCTATATGCAGGTTTCTTTTCCTGCTAATTTACAAAAACGAGCAAAATTTTTTGTCTAACAAATTTGACACAACGTTTAGACAGGTCGGAGGTTTTCACTCTGTTTGTGAGGATAAATGGAAAGAGCTCATTTTTAAGAAAAGCCAGCACAGATAGATTCCTACTTCCCGCACGGGGGCCCACAGGTTGGTACGTACAGATGTATGCACACAAATGTATACATTTACATATACACATTGGTGTGCATTTTTCTTTTTCACCTCTGTACGTACACGTCACACTCCATGAATATTTTTCCCGTTTCCGTTTTTAAATTAACAAAATTAACCTTTTTACTGGGGCCCACAGGAAAAGATCGGTGTGTATGTGTGTGGGGGGTAGGGGGTAGCAGCTTACGATATGATCTTACACTGGCACAAGTGCGTTGTTCTCATTAGATGCATACTCCAACTGCTCGCTCACATTTGTGGAATTTCTTAAGGACTTTCTAAAAATTGCAAATAATTGAAAAAAGTTTCCTCTTACAGTTAAATTATTTTGCCATTGAATTGTTTTTGTCTGTTTTTCGGTTTGTAGCATCGTGTTTGGCTTTTTTTTTCCTGAAAATTTGGCTATTTCTCTAATTTGGCTAGTTTAGCTGCTCATTTTTTTTTCCAAATTGGCTAGCTGAGTCACCCCCCACAGCACAAAATGAGAGTCCTCTCCCTCTTGTCCGCCATCTGTCTCGTTTCCACTTGCCGAGGCCACAGGAATTTATTTGCCAGAAATAACTACCTGCAGTACCTGCGGTCACAGAACTTCATGCAGGGAAAACCAAAGTACCAAAAGTTAAACCAAAATTACTCGGAAGACCTGAACGAGTTTGACAACTATGAAGATGACGAATTGGATGCGGAAAATCTGGAGACGACAAGCAAAGAGAGGGTGACAAAGAAGAGTGACACCAACAGTAGGACCAGCAGTAGCACCAACAGTAGGACCAGCAGTAGCACCAACAGTAGCACCAACAGTAGCACCAACAGTAGCACCAACAGTAGCACCAACAGTAGCACCAACAGTAGCACCAACAGTAGCACCA